ATTTTTTTCTTTTTTTTTTTTTTTGAGAAAAATAGAAAAGAGACCCTAAAACCCCAGAAGTCGCAGCTCTTCCCGGCCCTCTGGGTTCCTCTGTTCTCTGGGGAATCACAACCTGGGATCCTCCTCGCTCTGACCTGGGCCACCCGCTCACAGTGCCTGCACCCAAGGGTCAGCCCCAGGGCTCCGTGCCCCTCTGTGCTGCAGGACAGGGACACTGAGTGGCCCCACACTCATCCCACTGCTGCCTGTGGGCTCCCAGCAGCCGGCTCGGTGCCGGCGCAGCGCTCCGTGCTCCCGCAGCTCACACTACACCCTACCCTGCTCCTCAGATGCAGCATGGAGTAACTGTCCCAAGAGAGCAGGGAGGAAAGCTTTATAAAAACTTAGCCTTAATTTTTTTGTTTGTTTGTTTCTTTTTGGGTTTTTCTTTTTTTCCAGACCTCCTCCCAGCAGGGCAGAGCACGCTGCTGCCCTCATCTCCTCCAGGCGTCCTCCCTTCCCTCGCTGCCTGCCCCGCACACCTCCTTGCTCCCAGCTCCAGCCGCCCTGAGCCTCCTCACCCCACGCCCCTCATTGCACCACACAGACCCAAGGCCGTTCCCCTGAGCGCCGTGACGAATGTCCCCTCCAGGCAGGGCCCCCCTCCTTCACTTCTGCTCTGCTTCATCGGCCACCGCCGTCACCTCGATGGCAGCGTTGTGCTCGGCCGTGGGACCCTCGGAGGGCACACTGAGCACCGCACCGCCGCCACTCACGTGCGTCACGTTCTGGATGGCGGCGCCGAGCCCCGGCAGCGCCAGCAGCTGGAAAGGGCTGAGCACCTTCACAACCGTGCTGCTGTCCTGAGCGGTCGCTGCCGCCGTGCTCAGCACCGTCACGTTGGGAGCGTCCGGGTGGATTTCCACCGCGCCGGGGAAGGCGTTGCCGGCAGAGGCCAGTACAGTGTAGCCACCCAGCAGTGGGGAGGCCGGAGAGCTGGCGGCAGGCGGTTGGGATGGGGTTTTACCCAACACTGAGGATGGGAGAGTCGAGACCACTTTGCCCAGAGGCAGGCTGGCGAGTTGGGACATCGGCACGGCCGGGGTGACGGCGATCTGCGCCGGCTGGGACAGCACCTGGGAGGTGATGGCAGCCGGTCCGGAGGTGGCCCGGGTGAGCCGAGGGCGTTTTAAAGGTGTGGGGACAGAGACGGGAGTCAGAGTCATCAGCACGTTGTTGAGGTGCTGCGATTTGTGCTTCAGCTCCTTGGCACGCTTGCGGTGCTCATCACACTGCTGCTCCAGAGCTGCAAGAAGAGCGAGGTCAGCATGCATCGAGCATCCCCACGGCTCCAGCATGGGCCTCACAAGTACCAGTGTAACACCAAACCTGCTGCTTTACACAGTAACAACCCAACTGCAGGAGCATACCTGCCAGATCCCGTGTGTACTGCTCCCTGGAGCGATCCATCTGGCACTTGTGGCTGGCCAGGACTTTCTTGACCAGGTCCAGCATCCTGAAGTTCTGCACCACGTTGTTGAGTAGGACAGCATCTTAAAAGGAAGAGAAGAGACGGGTCTTTGAGGAGCAAAACATTCCAAATGGTTTGGTAAAAAGCTATCTGAAAGCAAAGGTGTTCAGCTGAGACAGCCAAAGCCTGTGTGAGGGTAACACAAGGAGCTGGGCAGGAGAAGTTGTGAGAAAGTGCAGGAGGTTATTCCTGGATAAGCAGCACTCTCATACTTAGAAGGGATCAATAAGCCTCCTGGCACAGCAGCTGCTTGCTGCACCATTACTCCAATGGCCAAAGTTCCTTCCAGCTCCAGAGCCAAATGCTTGCCCAGCATCCTGAAGGCAGCATGGGAAACCCAGGGCCCAGAGAACCTGAAGGAATTGTGGCCACATGCAGCCTCTGCTCAGAGCTGCCCTCCTGCACCAGCACCAATGATAACAGGGCCGTCTGCACACACTGATAAGCTGGAAGTGCAGAAACAAGTTTCCTTTCTATTTCGTTTCTGACTGTAACAAGTCTGAGACACAACGGCTCCCAGGGGACACCCTCAGCCCAGTGCCTGCTGTCAGCTGCTCACCTCCCAGCTGCAAGGGGGGGTCCTGTGCCCGCTGCTGCAAACCCCTCATGGTGTCCAGCAGCTCCTGGTGGAACTCCTGGATGACATCATCCAGCAGACCTGCATCCCTCAGGCCTCGCCAGAATGCAAAGGTGTCATCTGGAAGGAGAGAAAGGGAGGTAAGGGAGGTCTTCAGATCCTTCTGAGGTGGAAGTGGGGTTTTCGTGGCTCTTAGGAAAAAAGGGGCTGCACATTAACCAGCTTCCAAGTGACCGTGATGTGCTCTCTGCCTTCTGTCCCATATAAGGGTGAGGTCCCCCAGGTCTGTGGGTGCACAGTACCCAAAGGGCAGACAGAAGGACAAATCCCATCCTGCTGCAGCACACAAAGCAGCCATGGTGCCAGAAGAGCCCACTCCTCCAGCTCAGGACTCAGCACACAGGTGCAAGGCTGCGACCACAGCACAGCTCTTCCAAGAACCCAATGCCTTGAGCCTCACATCTCTTTCCTCAGCTCCAATTACACCGGGGGACCACAGAATTCATGACTTTCCAATTACTTCCCCCACCCAGAGCCACACCACACTTAGACATTCCAGTGCTTAGAAACAATTCCACCCCAAAGCCCATGTAGCAGAGTTAGAAGGGCTGGCAGCAGGAGGTCTGAGCAGGGCAGCTGCAGCAATAGGCCCTGCTCCTCATCCCTGACCCCTGTCCCCACCACCCCCACTTCTCCCACATCACCCTCAGCCTCTGCCCAGACGCAGCCCTACCTCCAATGCTGGTGGTCCAATCGCTGGCATCCTCACATGTTTCTATGGTAATTGTAGCTGGGGATCCGTTCACTGCAACCAATAGCAGAAAAGAAAAAGAAAAAAAAAAAAAACCAAGCCCTGATTTTTTTCTGTATTTCTCACAGGCTGTTTCCAAGGGATGCTCTGCTTGCTTCACTGCTGGAACTGCCCCTTTTGGTTGGGTGGAGCCACTTTCACAGGAGCCACGCAGCTGTGGCATGCAGCCACAGCTGATTTTTCCACTCTGGAGTGCAATACCAAAGGGATTACTCCTGCAACCCTTGCACAAGACCAAGAGCACTCTCCTCCCATCCCCCTCTGCATACATCCTTCTTGCTCAAGGCAGTGCTCTAAGCTTGATTTCCTGCCCTCCCTTCTGGCCAGCTCGCCATCTGCCAGACCCGCACACCACAGGGGTCCCAAAGCTTTGCAGGGGATGGCTCCTTCCCCACAACAACCTTTGTGGGTTTTGTGCTTAATGCAGCTTCCCTCAGTAGTGAGCTAATAACCAGGGCCATAATTAACTCATGCTGGCAGCTCTCTGCCCCACAGATGTGTTCTGGAGTCCTCAGGGATGTTTCTTAACTCTCAATAGCAAAAGGAGTTGAAGAAAAAGTACTGAGAAATAGCTTTCAATAGAACAGCTGATTGTAATGATAGGACAAATTAAAGTCAGGGCTAAAGCTACAGAGATACAACGTCATTTAAATCCAGTTTTACAAACTACACACACAAGGGCAGATACAGAACCCGCTGTATTCCCCAGTTCTCTTTAATCTGCCATCAGACAAAACCAATAAATAATTCAGGCAGGGAGCCTTTAGCGAGAGCCCATTCATTATTCAAGCTGAAGTCAGCTCCCCACGGGGAGAGCACAGGAGGGCTCTGAGCCTGCACTGCTGAGGACCACATCAGCCCTGGGGGCTGTGACCAGCGTGGGACACAACAGCTGAAACAGAGTCCCCATCACACACCCACTGCTGTTTGCTCACTGATCAATTGCTTCAGCTACACAGGACAGGGTGCCAAGAAGGGCATTGGTCACGCAGTATTACAGAGCAACAGGGGGAGGGACTGCCTCTCTGCACTGAGAACATTGCCTAGTGCTGCTATGAGAAATCCTGCAACAATGCAAGGGGAAAAAAGCAGAATAAAAGCAAACTGCAAAGCAAAGTACAGTAGAGAGGCAATCGTAAGGGCCATCGGGTATGCAGCACCAGTTCTGCTTTAATCCTGCAAAGCTCCTGCTAAAAGGTGCCAGGAATTGCTGCACGTACCATCTGTGGAAGCAGGAGTGAGAGGGATGTACTCTGTGGAGGTCTGGCTGCTCAGGGACACCCTGGCACCCGTCAGGTCAATCTTGGTGCTCCGGCACGTGTTGGAGCAGACCTTGGTGTGCTGGTAAAAATCCAGCTCCCCCGAGTCCATGATCTTCCTGCAAGAGAGGGAGCAAACACAGGGACATGCTCACATGCTCAGCCAGAGGAGCAGCTCTTGCCCAGGCAGCACATGGAGCAGCCTGCAGAGCATCCCCCAAACACCTCAGCATCCCAGGGAGCATCCTCCTCACCTCCCAGCACCCTGCAGAGAGCAGAAGCCGTGCTCTGCTTCTGCCTTGCCCCAGCACAGTGCCTGCTAGCAGGACGAGGCTGCATGATGAACGCCTGCGGGGTTTGCTGGGCACACCACCATCAGCTGGAGAGACAGAGACAAAGGTCTGAGCATCCCTTGCCAAGTTCTCCCCTCCTTACAAGCAGCGTTCACTAAGAGTCACTTAAAGCAGCAGCCACAGCCTGCTTGATGCTGGCCACTTATTCAAAAGACTTATTGAAATGTCCACTTCTTGACAGCAGGGAAACCTTCAGGGCAGAACATGGTGGACAATCCATTCATTCCCTAAGCAACGTGACCTGCAGCCTTCGCTGTCAGCAAATGCTGGGGGAGGGGCTGGCATGCTAACCCTAAAAAACAACAGCATGGAATGGAGCTGAGGTCCTGTGGCCAAATTTCATGCAGTGATGGGGACTTATGGTACCACTGAAACTGATAAGCCACCTTGTTTTCCTAAGCCAGCAGAAGTTTTAGAGTAAACTTTACAAAACAAAGGTATGTTTGACTAAAGCTACTCAAGCTCCATTTGAAAGAAAGAAAACAGTGTAAAATGACTTAAAAGAGAAGGAATTTTGGGAAAGATGCCATCATAGACAAGCTGGGAGGACAGTGCTGGCTCTTGGGATCAGCCAGTTGGCTGAGCCTCTCTCCCCCCCCAAGAGGGAGCAAACGGGGTGAGATTCACACACTGTGCTTCTGACCACTGCTCTGCACATCCCAGAGCCCACGGCCCTGCCACGCTGTGCCAGGAGTGAGATGAGGGATGCCCAAGGATGCTCTGAATAGGTTCAGCAAAACACAGCTGTGTAGGAACAGAAAGAAGAAGGGAGAGCACGGGCCTACAGCAGGCTGATGGCTTTCAAGGGAAATTTTCCTCAAGAGCTAAAATGAGGAGGAAGGACTGAAAAAAATAACCAGTTCTCACGGAAGAATCTCACCCTGCCTTCCTCTTTTTTTTCCACAGCTGCTCATACAGACTCAGGTACGAAAGAAGAAGTTGGGAAGCCCAAAGCCAAGTGAACTTCTGGCATCCACCCACAGCCTGCAAGCTCCCCATCACACAGCCCTCACACACGTGATTTCCCCAAGGACCCACCCTGCCCAGCACAAGCCTGTTATGCAGAACCTACGCAGAGCAAAAGCTGCTTAGGAGTACGAGACTCATGCATGAAAGCAGAAGGATCCTGGCAGATCCTGTGAAAGGATGAGGAAAGCATGGCCATCCCCAGGGAGTGAAGTGCTGCCTACAGGCAGGGTTGTGGGTGTTACTGAACCTGTCTCATGCTGGTGTTCAAGAACACAGAAGAATTTAATTGCTATAGTTGAGGCCAGAGAAGCTGCCCGTTTCCATAAATAAGCTTTGAAGAAGCCCTTGGGAAAATAAGAAAACCAACAAATGGATCTAAAGCAGCTGTAATGCAATGGGAGTGTTAGCTCATGAGCAGACCACGCTTTGTGGCTCAAACAGAGCTGCACACAACACAGCCCAACCCCTGGGCACTAAAGTGCTCACTTAGGACCTCATGGGAAAGCAGAAGGGTTCAAGTGCTAAAACTTAAGGGGCTTTGCTGCCCCAAGTTATTCCCTGTCCACAAGGATATGCAAAGCCTTCAGGTGGACAACATTTGGGGCCAGCATTCAGCAGCACATCAGCGCCCCCTGGGACACAGCAACCGTGTAGAAGGTTCTGTCCCACCCCAGCAAGAAGAAATCCCATCTGCTGCCATGCAGACTGACCGGAGCATGATCCCATTCATCCGGATCGCCCGCTTCCAGTCCTTCAGAGTGGACTTTCCTGCCAGGTGCACAAACTCCTTGGGGCTGATGAGGTGTCCGTCGAACTGCAGGAGAAGCGCAGCGTCAGTGTGGTGAGCAATGAGGAACACTGCATCCCTGGAGATGATGACACCAGGCAAGCCTGGGCGGCTCGGGCCAGGGCTCAACACGTTTAACTGAAGTATCAGCATTGGAGATGGCTGGCAAGCACCCCTCAGCTTTGAGAAAACTGTTTGGAGCACCTCTAGCTCAGAGCTGAAGACATGCAGCTGGCAGCTGCTTGGCAAACCTGGGGTACAAGCAGCACATAGCAGTTTGCTGAATGCCCAACTTGCTTGCTTGCCCTGCACAGCAAAGCACTCAGGGTTGATGCAGGCGATCCCGAGCAGCAGTGCACAGCTCACTGCCCCAACTTCTGCAGTGCTGCGTGGGGCTGCATGGCCTCCACAGGCTCCCCAGCACAGCCCTGTGCACACAGCCCTGCGTAAGCAAGGAAGGAGAAGCCTGCCTGGCCTCTGACCTCCTGCTACCGAGCACAGACACTGCTATCAGTGAAACCTCTGACCCCTCTTGGAGCACACCTGCTTGCACAGAAAATCAGTTGCAGGGAGCTGGCCTTGCTGTACTAGGAGCCTGTTCTGCCCCTTTGCTTATTGCCCTACACACCCAGCTGGATCTGACCCCATGAGCTGAGCTAAAAGCAACCTTCAGAGCCAGGCAGACCTCAAAGCAGTGCTTTATGGGCAGTCTTAGGAAAGATTCCCCACCTCCAGGTCTCCTCTCCATGCACATGTGAACTTATGTTAAGGTGAGCTGGTTTACTCACAGTGCATAAAGAACTGCTGCATGGGCTTCAGTGCAAAGAGAATGCTGATTTTAGGCAGCAGCAAAAGCAATTATCTGCACTGGGAGCTGTTCTCTTTGTAAAAGGCCATGTTTCCTCTGCAGGAAAAGGAACATCCTTTGCAAAGCCCTCATGTGGCAACATGTCCACATGAAGATGAAGCCAGGCTCTCCTCCCACATCCATGCAGGTTTTAACCAGAAGCCCTCCAGGACACAGCAGACACTGCTCAGCACGTTCCCTACCTAAACTTCTCAACAAATCCTCAAACTCAGACAGCAGAAGACACCAAACTCCTCAAACTCTGCAATGAAGCAGTGAAATGTGGAAAGCATCTTTCCAGCCAGGTCTGCTCAGATGGAGCAAGACAAGTAGCAGGCACCACACCCAAAACTTCTTCCCTCTCCTACCATGATGCGGTTCTGACTCAAAAAAGGCTCACTGAGTCACCAAACCCCACGTGTAGCACACAGGATGATGTGGACACAGGGAACTCTGGTTCTTCCCAGCCAGAAGCAGAAGCAGGAACAGCACCACGGCCCCACACCCACCTGCACACACTTCACATTGATCCCGGGGCACACAAACTTCCTCCAGATGAGGTTGGCTTTGCTGTCCCCACAGGTGATGGGGTACACGATCTCTGCCTCCAAGCTGTCCTCGTCTTCAGCCATCTTCACTTCTCACAGGGAACAGAGCAAGGGATGGAGCAGAGAGAAACATGAGGTGCAGTTCCCAAAGCAGTGCTGAAGGTCAGGATCAGCACGAGTAGGTAACACACAAGGGACATGGGTGGCAATGGGGTGCTGTGGTCACAATTCACTCGCACGTTGCACCCGAATCGCTGAGGTGAAATAGCACACAAACATCCACATAAATCCTCCCACAGCTGAATGCATGAGATCTGAGAAATCAGCAGCCAGGGCTGCAAATCCAATTCTTGATAACCATGTAAGGACTGGTGGTGTTACGATGCCTACACATTCTCAAACCGTGGGTGAAGGCAACTTAAGGCTCTCCCAGCCCCAGCTCCTTTGCTCTCCAAATTCACTTTCGCTTGAAACCAAAGCTGCTGGAAAGCCAACATCACATCCTTCCGCAGCAAAAAGCCAAGAGCTGGCAACATCACAGGGACACAACCCGCACCAGGAGAGGGCAGCAGCGCTCCAGCGAGCAGCAGCAGCACCCGGCCCTCCCCAGACTGGAGTGCACCCCTGATGCAGAGCAGCATCCCTCATGCTGGGCACCCCGAACAGCACTTCTGATGGCAGACAGGGATGCAGGAGCACCCCCAGCCCTGCCACGCAGCAGTAGGTGCCTCCCCAGCTCTCAGCAGCCCCCGAGGAGCCGAGCCCCATCAGCTGCAGCTCAGACCTACCTAGCACTGCTTCCTTCAGGTGTGTGGATGCTGTGAAGGCGGCAGCGGCCGCAGCGGCTGCGTTTTCAGTCTCCAGGGTGTCCTCATTTATGTCACTGCTGGCAAGAGAGAGAAATGCAAAATGAAGCTGTGTGGAATTGCTGTCTCTGGCGCAATGTTTGGAGAAGGCTTCAGAAGTCATTCCTACTCTATTTTTTCCACAAAATCTGACTCTTCCCCCTGCAGCCAGGTGGGTACAGAGGAAGGGGAGGCAGAGATGCTGCTGACACAGCTGGGCTCTGGGTCAGACTCTCCGTGAGGAGCCTCTGTCAAATTCCCTTAAGGAATTCCCTGGAAATAACACACACATAGTGCACCAGCTACACACATGCTGCTTACTGCACAGGGGACCTCAGAGCAACACAAGTTCAACAGATCTGGGAACAGAGAAAACAATACAAGCAACAAACTCCTCTGTTTCCCCCTCTTACAGCCCCACATACATACAACATTAATGTAACACTAATTAACTGACAAAGGCAAAGAAGACCACTTTCATCTTGCCTACACCAGAACCCTCAGACCTCTCCAGGAGCTTTGCTGATGGGGCCACACATCTGCATCTCTCCTGTGCACTCAGCTCTGCTGGGGATCAGGCTCAGCCCAAGATTTGCTCCTCATTGCCCAAAGGCTTTAGGATACATACTGGGGTGGTTTTGGCTCTGCTTCCTCCCATCCCATTCTGGAGGGACTGCAGCAGGAGGAGCTGAAGCGTCCCCATCGGTTGCCATGACAATGCTGGGATGCAGCTGTCATGTCCCTGGGAGGACACACAGAGCAAGTGGGAGAAGGGAGGATGAGTGCTGGCAAAGCTGTGCCTGCCTCTGCCTCCTCTGGGAGCTCGGGAAAGAAAAGCCTCCACCAAAAGACTGCAGCAGAAATACAGGCAGCGCATCAGAGCAGGGGAACACAGACCTCTCCCAAGCACAAACGAAAGAAAAGCCTCCTGCTGATTGTTACCATTTCTGCTCTCCTCTGCTTTTTTTCAGACAATATTAAAATGCAGGAGCTAATTAAGCTCTTAAGCCTCTGCTTATATATATTTTTTTTTTTAAACAGCAAAACCACAGCCAAAAGAGCAGCAGAAAGATGCATTGAGCCCAAAGAGCCTCTCCTGCTGCCCTGGGGCTTTGCAGCAGTGTAAAACAAAGAGCTCAGAGCCTCCTCCACAGCCCAGCTACAACTGAGGAGCCTCCACCATGCCAGGGAGGGAAAGGAGCCCAGCAGAGGCACAAGCCCCCGGTCCATGCCCTTCCCACAGCAATGCTTCAGTATGGGAGCCCAGGAGCAGTGCTTTGAGATGCTTCAAAAAGCCCTGCAGGGGTCTGTCTGCTCTGATGGAGGGGCAAGGAGAGGTTTCCAAAGAAAAACAGGAGGGGAAGAAAAGAATGAAAGGGAACCAAACCAGTCAAGGCAGTCCCTGCCGTGGCTTATGTTCCAGACCTCACAGCCACATGAAAAGCAGCCCCTGCTCAGCATCCAAACATCCACAGCTCCCATTCCACGTCAGCTGTGGCTCAGGGAATCATGCTGACCAGAACCAGCACCACAGATGGAGCTGAGCCTGCTCAGATTTGACTCTAGTTGCAGCACAGCCGCTGTTTTGTGCTCTAAAAGATGAAACACGATGCCCCTCCCCAGAGCACAGAAATAGCAGGACAGAAATGTTTTGGAGAGCAACAAGTAGCTGCTTGCTGCCTGCTTTGTGGGAGCATGAGAACGCCTGAAGTGGGTAAAGCTACCCAAAGCCAGCACCAGATGTGAGTTGGGGGCTTCTGCCTGCCAAGATGGACTTGGAGCAAGACACAGACAAGATGGAGGAGAAAAGAAGCCAGCAGCCCATGTATCCCTGAGCTGTACCCAAACAGAGCTCACTTCAACAGGTGGGACAGGAGTGCTGCAGATGTCACCCAGGTTCACTCTGCTTTTGGATCAGTGCTGCCCCATCCAGCACTTCATTGCTAAGCCCAACCCCAAAGCTCTGCTGCACCGTGCCCAGCAGCTGTGCAAGAATATCCACTGCCTGGAGCTTAGTGGATCGCTGGGAAAGAAACAGTGAAAAAACTGATTTATCCACCGATGTGTCCACATCCATCCCACCAGGTCACCTCTGTTCTTACCCATGCTGGGACAGATTGGTGGTGACCAGCACTGTCTTCACCTCCTCCACCCCACTGCCATCCACTGCCGTGTCCGGCGTCGTCACCACCACCACCTCCTCCATGTGCACACTGACGTCCGGCGTGGCCATGGGAGCAGTGCTCTGCAGGGACACAGCACAGAGAGTGACTGCTCTGCTACCAGCAGTGCCACAGAGGGGACACAGCAGGACAGGGGTGAGTTAGACAGGTTTAGAGGGGTGTCATCAGGGGGGAGTTCTTTACAGAGCGGTGAAGCGCTGGAACAGCTGCCCAGAGAGGCTGTGGATGCCCCGTCCCTGGAGGTGTTCAAGGCCAGGTTGGATGGGGGCCTGGGCAGCCTGATCTAGCATTAAATGGGGAGGTTGGTGGCTCTGCATGTGGCAGGGGGTTGGAGATTCATGATCCTTGAGGTCCTTTCCAACTCTGGCCATTCTGTGATTCTGTGATGTTTCCAACAGGCCCTGGTGAGGACACATCTCCACAGAACCACCCACCTCTCCAGATGCTGTCACCCCCATTGTGCCCCGTGGGCAGAGACCTCATGGTGAGCAACCCCTGCAGGCAGGGGAAGCTGTGTCCTTGCACGCTGCTATGGCACAGCACTCCTGGCACCCAGCTCTGAGCTGCTCAATGCAATAGGAGAGCTTCAGCCCCCTTCGAAAGGCACTGCTGTGCTCCCAGGGCTACGAGCTGCAAGAGCTGCAACACCAGCAATGTAAGCACAGCTGCTCCCCCTCCTCGTTAAGCCACTTCCCATTAACAGCTTGCTCTTACAGTGTTTTCATTGCATGAGAAAGAAACAAAGTTAATTGTTGCAGCAATAATGTATGAGGCTGAGCGGACAGCAGGCAGCACAAGAAGCTGAGGCTTTGCTCCATCCCCTCCTTGCAAGGACGCAGCACAGCTCTGCAACTGCTGACTGCTGTAGGATTTTGGCTGACCTCTCCCTGCCCCCCCACGTTGCTTTTTGAGATGAACCCCCACAACACCACGGGCACAGAGCTCCCACCAGGCAAAGCACCACCCACACCACCAACTTCAGCGTCCCAACGCAGCGTTGGCAAAGAAGGGGGAAAATGGGATGAGAAAAGAATAGCATTGCACCGCCTGGTGTTTTGTTTTTTTTTTGGGGGGGGGAGGTTTGGCAGAAAGTCGCTGT